TTTAATTCCTGTCTATCTGGAAATGTCCTAATTTCACCATCGTATTTGAGAGACAGTTTTGCTGGATATATAATTCTTGGTTGGCAGTTTTTTTCTTTCAAGGCTTTATATATGTCATCCTATTGCCTTCTTGCCTGCATTGTTTCTGCCAAGTAATCGGAACTTAGTCTTCTTGGTTCCCCTCTGTATTTGACTTTTCATTTTTCCCGAGCTGCTCTCAGGATTCTTTCTTTGTCTTTGGTTTTGGCAAGTTTGATTATGATATGTCTTGGTGACTTTCTTTTGGGGTCTGTCCTGTACGGGGTTCGTTGAGCTTCTTAGATGGATATCTTCTCATCTTTCACGATATTAGGAAAGTTTTCTGCTAGCAAATCTTTGACAATTCTATGAGTTTTTTTGGCCTCTTCCTGTTCTGGGATTCTGATTATGCGTAAGTTTTACCTCTTGTTAGTGTCCCACCTAATTCTTAGGCTTTCTTCATTTTTCTTCATTCTTTTTTATGAATTTTCCTCAAACAAATTGGTGTCAAGGGATTTGTCCTCTACTTTGCTGATTTTGTCTTCTATTGATTCAATTCTGCTCTTTTGTCCTTCTGTTGAGTTGTCTATTTCTGAAATTTTTTTGTTAATCTTTTGGCTTTCTAGTTGCTGTTTTTGTATGGGTTCTAATTGTCTATTTTGTTCTTGTATTGTTTTTCTGAATTCTTCTATTGCTTTGTGTTTTCCTTGGTTTTGTGTGTGTTTTCCTTGATCTCTTGGGAGAACCCTACACATTAGTCTTTTGAATTCCTTATCAGGTAGTTCCATTACCCTTAATTCCTCCGGAAGTTTTCTGGTTCTTTATTTTGGTCACTTGCTGGGCCATCTTGTCCTGCTTTTTTATGTGATTTGATATTGTCTCTTGTCTCCAAGGCATTAAGGTGTCGTTATATTTATTTATTGTATGTTTGTTTGCTGCGTCCTGGTTTTTTGTTTTGTTTTATTTTGATATATCCGAGTAGGCAGGGCGTGCGTGCTACTCTGGTCACTAGTCTGGCCACACTGGAGCTCTCACCACCTGTCTCCAGGTGGGTGGGGCAGCAGCTGGGTGTGTGAGCCCGGGTCTTTCTCCGCTGGTCTTGCGGGGTGACTAAGGATGTAGCTGACATTGCTGGTGAGGTGATGTATCTGTCTGGTTGGTCACCTGGGCATGAGTGCAGGGAACATTCTCACTTGAGTGTTGTGTGTGCGTGTGCTGGTTGATGGGTGGTTGGGGCGAGGGTGTGCCAGTCATCAGTCACTAGGT